CCCAGAGATGGTTCTGATTTATAGTATTTGCTTCACAGATAGAAAGAGATGCTGTGTGTTTTCTATTTATAACTCATAAATATTGAGATTAGCTTTCACACATAATGGACTGGATTACGAGCTGCTTTCTCTTCCATGGCTGTATCTGCAGCTTTCTGCAGAAGGAAGAACACGTGGATCCAATCACAATCCTCTTCTCCTTGCAGTTCTTCTTAAACCTTAATTTGGCATAAACAGGTACAGTTTAGGGTCTGCTATATTTGCTACTTGGCGACAGTTCCTAAGGCAATACCTGAACCCATGCCAGCTATGGTATCTCCTCCTCGTTGGAACTCAGGGTCTGACGGGGGGAGTGGTGGGAAGCAGCAGTGCTGAGGAGATAAGGGGGAGCGTCCATTGCTTACTACTAGGACACATTCCTGGTAATTAAATTGACTAAAAGCCAAGCATACTAAAATAATACACAGAGAACAAAACCACATTAGCTTTCAAAGATTTTTAGAAGGAATAAATAATGAAATTAATTCTGAAAATGTGATAAGCTATATTAAGGCTTACACTTATTATCATCTACTAACAGATAACTTTTTGATATAAAACAGTATTTTGCCAGTCATACATACAGCCACTGAGGTTCTTAAAAAAGGCATTTAAGCCAAAGAGCCTGGGTAGCTAAATACCCGTAACAACAGTCTGTCCAGGTGCCAGTCCCAGTCTCTTCTGAAGATTCAGAGGCAAAATGCTCTTTAATATATTCGAGTAATTTACTTCAATGATTGGCTTGGTCAAACCAGGGAAAGCTGCTGGAAGTTGAAATGAAAGCTTTTACTTCATGTTAGGAACAAAAATTGATACAAATGGAGGGTATGGCTAAATACATGGAAATCTATAGAACTGCCTGCATAAATGTGTATAAATAGTGTGAATCTTCCTATGTAATAAAAAGAAGGGCCATATTTATTGCACAGACCACATTTAGCTGCTAGTCAGATGTGCTAAGGGTTAAACAACCATTTTTTCTTGAGGAAATAAGTAAAAAGTACAAATACAAAACAAGATTAAAATTAATTTAGATAAAAGTTTCATACTTATTTAAATCCATATGTGAAACCACTACCTCTTTGATTTAAATTAGTATCTCATAGGGGAGCTGCAGATAATTCCTGCCCTCTTTCTGGGGTAGAAGGGATTGTAAACCTAAATGAAGTATCATAATCCATAGACAACCCTTGTGAACTGAACAGCATTGCTGAGTGGAATTCAGCCCTTATCAAGGAATTAGTCAGACTATGTCTCCATGGCCTGTTTGGAGAGATTAAACTGCAAACTGGTTTTGAAATCTCCTAAATAATCTAAATGAAATAAATAAAAAAAACCCCCAACACAGTGACTTGGGAGTCTAAGTTCCCTTGATCTGCTGTAAGACCTAAGCTTCTAAGTCCTGAAGACATTCTGGGTGAACTAAACCCATAAAGCCATGTAAACCGAGTTTACCAAATTCAGACAAATAAAAAGAATCTCTTTATAGCTTACATATCACCTGCCAGATGTCAGATTCATTAAAAATTCATTTGAATATAATTTAAATAATTAAAACGCCATTTTAAAACATGCATAATTGTTTGCCAGAGGCCCTTGCTCACCAGAAGTAATAATTTCCACTTGTTGTGGTGACTTGATGAGCTCAGGCTGAACAGTTCCAGTGTCTGAGCCAAGGTTTGCTTTAGTCACAGCCTGATGTTGCAATTACGTTTAAGACCTGGGAGTTTATTGCTCAGATGGGTGATCTGGTTTTGTTACAAGGAGTCTAATGAATTTGATGATTAGTCTGTCGTCTTTTATTGTCTGTTTCTGAAGCAATTTGTACTTCGCTTTTGACTGCTAATAAAATTTATTGAAAAGTTCAAAACGCTGGTGATAAAGGCGCTTTTTTTGCAACTGTAGCAACCATTAAATGGGATCTATACACTGACTAGCAGGATTAAGGTTTCACCAGTAGAAGCTCTGTAGAAATGCTAGGAAAGGTAGTACTCTCTATCTACTCTGATCAATCTCCTCTTTTGATAGGGCTCTCTATCTGGATAACATAAATCTACATGTTAAAATCAAGCATGTATTTAAGTCCAATTGACCACAATTATGGATTTAATAAATTTCTAAACAGAAGTTCAGAAGACTACTGAGCCACAGTTACTGGTTCTTTGTACTGGGACTGAAGAGAACATTAATGCTAAAGCTTTCCACATTGTTGAGGTGCAAAGGTATAGCAGATATTTACTAGCAGCAGTAATACTCAAGATGTGGAGAGAAGCAGCCAGAAGGAAACTGCAAGGTCGCCCGTCGCTGTGCTGCGAATGCTTGGCAGCACTATGTTAGACCTCCTGCGGGAGCCAGGGCCCTGCTCTTCCTTTCTGCAAGGCAGATAAACTCTACAGAGAGGCATAAAGGTTGGATGCAAGAGAAAGCACAGCCCTTTCCAAATGTCTCTCTTCTGCTTTTCCAGCATCTTCTCCAAAATAGGAGAGAATAACAAAAAGACATATTCTAATGTCAGATACTTTTGTCCTATTTTTGACAAACTTCTAAAGATTTTTTTTCCCCTTTCTATGTCAACTACATAATTTTCACCTCTTACTAATGGCTTTCCCTTGGTGACAGTAAGTGCTGTTGATTATACAGGTAACATTCAGTTTAAGATCTCATTTGATTGTCAACATTTTTCCACCTCCACTGCAACACAAAACTTTCAGTTTTGCAAAATGAAAAGTGATTTTAGCATCAAGAGAAAATAACAAAACTAGTGCAGAAAGCATTCACTAATAGAAGAGAAAACCCCGTCACCTTCACTACCACTTAGCCGTACTGTACTTTGAGAGTAGGTATTATTTAGTGTGAATAATGACAACAGAATCTCAGCTTGATTTCATAAGTTATTTCTGCATAATTTATTCAAAAGACAAATTCCCTAATGAAAGATACTGGATCCACTTTAAACCAACATTGTTTCATCTATAATTACTGCCTCAGGAATACCATACTAACTGCCATTTATCACTGTCAGTGACTTTTGAATTCCTTCTACAACCATGGTATCCCATTGGGTTTGTTTGTCTCTGAGAGAACATGATGTTTCTAGTTTAGCATGGCCCTAAAAAAGGAGAACAAAACCTGTCATCCCCTAGAAATATATTTAAATGTCCTCTATGTGCTGTAAGCCCATTCATTTCCTCATAGTTATTTCCAACACAATGCATTATATTTGCCATCTGAAGTTTGTAGAACGTCTTCAGTTCATTAGTGCTTTCCCTGCCCCTTTCTTTCTTTTCTTACTAGCTGAGTACCCATTATCCATCACATTTCTCACAAAGCTTGGAAAAGAATATAGATGCTCAGCTCTTAGAGCTACACCTCAGTCAAAAAACCCCACACTTCCTCATTGTGAGAATCTATCTTTCATTAGGAAACAATTAGGAAGTAAATGTGCTAAAGAACATTAATTTGCAATTGGTTCAGTACCAGTGTTAGGGAAACTATTAGTGGTGTGCCCTAATCTAGTGTCCATTTTAGACAAGAAAAAGCTAGACTTGACTGAGGTAATGACTACAACATTTTGATGTTTTTACTTTATTATGTCTGTGGCTGTGCAGTAGAAGACCTTAGAAGTAGGCAAAAAAAAGATAACTGGTTACTGGTAAAAGTCTTTGTTTCCCCTCACTTTGTGAAGGTCCTCCTGTTACTGTTCATCAAAGGTGGTAAACAAAACCTTCAGGCCTGCTTTTAGCAGGTTCCCATTTCTCTGCGTATTTTGATAGAACCTTGTGCCAAGATTAAAAGAAAATAAAAGGAAAACACTTTTTTCTTGTCACTTGCTAATTCAAAATCAGCAATTACATCATCTGTGTTTTAGTGACAGCTGTACAAGTTTTCAGTTCTAGAGCTGCACTGGAAATATTCTCATTCTCAACGGTCAGTAAAAGAACTCTTTTAACAGAAAGTATATAAAATAAAATTCTCCTGGAAAGACCTCTCATTATAAAGCATCTTGTTATTTAATTTGGTCTCAGCTAATTGGCAATTTAGACAGCAATTTGTGTCCAAATTCCATAAGCAGCAGAGAACAGAAGCCTACATGGAGCTCCATTGGGTCCTTGGAATACAGCCCTACCACAGAGACGCAGCCCTGATGTCATGTGTGGTGACTGCACCCTCCCTTAGAAACGGCATACATCATCTCATCCATGGTGTGTATAGCTTTACTACAAGGAAAGATTACGAGGACTATTTGTAGGTACTGAGCATGTTGGAGATATCAACCTCACTGACTACCACAAGTGCAAGGCTGTCATTTTGATTGCTAGTGTACATGCAAATACAGAGCACTCCCAACTCTGTGCATGGGAGCAATAACACCCGAGCCCTTCAAATGTAGAAACAATTATCCTAGCACCTCAACCAGCAGTCAGCATGGTGACCTGTGGTGAGTTCCTCTGTTATTTCTTATCAGTAACATTGAAGGGAAATGGTCGTGTTTTGTGAGATTAAACAGACAATAGGAATTGTAGTGAGATTTTTTTCTCTTGCCTGAATAGTCTGTATTTATCTCCAGGCAACAGGAGAGAAGGAAAGTGCAGAGAGATTGCACTGTCATCTGACTGTTTAACTCTTCAGACCTTGTCTTGAAGTGGAATACAGTTTATAATGAAATTCCTCTTTTTAAGCTAGAATGAGTTCTGATATAGAAGCACAGAATCATAGAATGGTTTGGGTTGGAAGGAACCTTTAGAAGTCATTTAGTCAAACCCCCCTGCAGTGACATCTTCAAGTAGAACAGGTTGCTCAGAGCCCTGTCCAGCCTCAGTCATGCCCTGACTTTCAGAAAACACAAACCACATTTTTCAGACAGTGAACAAGAGCCCTTACCTTCTCAACCAAGAAATCTCCAATAGAAAATGAGTTTATTTTCTGCCTTTGCAAGCCTGAAAGATCTTTCATGCATGTACCTGATAGTCCACCGACATCCATCTTTTTCAGGTTCTTTGCCTCCAGAATGACGACAGTCAGCTTGCCAGCAGTAGGCACATAACGCAGGGAGAAGCAGATATCACCCAGTTTTTCTTGCTGTGAAGGCAAACAAGACACAGTGTTATATTTTAATAATTTTTGTACCTTTTAAAAATGCAATTTTGAAAGCCCCACAGAAAATTAACAGGATTACATCTCAAACTCCTACTGATAAACAAAACATTCAAATGAACAATATGAGACATCTGCCACAAGTTGCCCAGCTTAAATCCTTGATAAACTCAAATCTGTTGCAGGAACTGGAGTCCACAGCAACTATCCTGTATGGAGCCAAACGACAAGATATGTGCTGGCTTCAAAGGAAATTATACTGCTCAGCATTTCACCCCTGACAATCAGGGTCCCACAAATACTCTTTGCCCTTTAAACCGAGTCATGATAAGATTTTTTTTTCCAGGTTGTGTTTCAGTGGAAATCAATTAACACACATGCATACACAGCTACTAGACTGTTTTCTGTGAAATGGTAACATGGGTCTTTCTCACCACACTTTGTCACAAAAGCAAAAAGCATAAAAAAAACCCCAAAATGCAAAACATTCAGTATAAAGACTTGTCTCCTATCTGATGGGGGAAAAAAAAAAAAAAAAAGAAAAAAGACAGATACAGGCCAGGAAAGCACACAGTGCATCCCTCATCACATCAGGAATGGTTGGAAGGGTTTGGTTTTGCCTTTAGCCTTGCAGCCTATCATCTGGGATCCTGCCAAATGCAACCTTTTGCAATTCATTGCTTAGTACTGTCCTAACAGTCCTGGCAAAGAGGGAACGTCTGAATTACATTCAGAATTATTTTGTTTTTAAAGGAGAAATAATTGATTTGAACTTGCAAATATGAGAGAGCACAAAAAAGAAGAGACTACTGCTTAGAAATTATCACTAGGATGATCCAACCTGCTCTCCTCCTTCCCTTCAGGCACAACGGTATCTCTAGGTGGGGAACAAGGTTGCTTTTGAGACAAGAAGAATCAGGTTACACTGAACAGTCCAATAAAGCCTTTCAGACATCAATGTTTCTCTTGTAAAGACAGTAGTTCTTATGGCATATGCCTGTTTCCACAATTTATTCTGGCAGTAGAGTATAAAGTACAATTCTATGAAGATATATCTCTTTGGTTCCAGTGTTTTGTTAGGATAAATTGGAAGGCTGGTTGTTGAAAAGTTTTAGGGGTGTATCTAAGCTTTTTGTTAAGACATTAGGCAATTTTTTGCAGGAATTATGCACCTTTCCCCCATGCCACGAATGCAAAAAGAACATGGCAATTTACCAGTTTCAAAGAAACAGGGAAAAAGAGGCTAAGTCAGGCCTAAAAAGCTGGGAGAACACTACTGAGAGCAACTGTCTCACATAGTCATGGATGTAGTGGGTATTTCCTAGAGAAAAGACAGTCCATGACCTAAGGACATCCATGTAAAAAGCACCAAAATGTTCCTTTCCAACTGGGAGCTCAAGCTTCCAAGTCATTTAAGAGAAACTGAACTTCATCTACTAATCCAAATTTTCAGTATCAGTGGCAGTTCTCTCAATAGCTCTTACACACAATCACTTTTTATCCAGGTTTGGATAAGCATCTGCTTAAGTATATCTATCTGAAGGATGCATGCCAGACACTCAGCTATACTTAGTATAAGTTAAGAATGGCATCATGTAGTTATTGTTTCGTTTAATTTAAAAAACCCCCAACAACTTATAAACTGCAATAATAATGCAACACCTATAAAGTGACAGACTCTGAATTGATTATTACAAGTTCGGAATGAGACCCAGGGATTGTAATATAGATATTACAGTTGTCTGTAAAACACCAGTTCAGTGATCACCAGTGGTCAGAAAACAGAACAAACACAGTTATGTATAATTAGGAAATGCTCAGAGAAAACACAACTAAATAGCTCATGATGTTATGTGTGTGTATCATGTATAAAAACACTGTCAGAATGCACATGTGCCAGTATCTCGAAAAGTGGTGCAGTTATGATGTCCTCTCCACCTCAAAAAGGGTATGATAGAATTGGGAAAGATTCCAAGAAAAGCAGCAGAAATTATCAAAGATATGACACAGCTTCTGCAGAAGGAACAGCTTTGTAGATTAGGACTCTTCAGGCTGGAAAGGGGCTGGCTGGGGAGCAGTATCTTAGAGACCTCTGTCTGACCCGGGAGGACTATAGTGATGTTACGACCTTGCTGAAAAAAAAAAGAGATTCTAATCACAGAATCACAGAATGTTAGGGATTCTAGTCATCTAGATCATCTAGTCCAATCCCATTAATTTATATCTATAATAACTTAAAATGTCTTTCACAGGATGGACTGCACTTCTATGGACAGACTTACTATTCCTCCCTGTCTGCATATACTGTTATGAATCCCAGCATGATTCAGATCATGAGAATATGGATTTCAGCTATGCAATCTGCATAACTCATGCACGGCTCTAACTGAGCCTGCAATGGCACAGTGACAGCAAAACACACTCCTGTTCCCTTGACATTCCATCTTGGAAGTCCATTTTGGCTAGGCTAACAGTGAAGTTGATCTATTGCTTGCAGCTTGTTCAGAATGGAAGAAATCAATTGCTTATTGATTTGTGTTATCATGATCACAGCTCACCCAGCCGCCCAGTTTTCTCTGCAGTCACTGTTCTATTACATGGTAGACTTGGTTTAAATTAGTCCGGTTGATTCATGGCGCTCCGAATAAGACTGAAACAGGGTATACTTGAAAGCTCATTTTAGTTCCCCATCTTAGAGACCTTTGTGCTCACGTATCATCTGACATTCAAGGGCTCTGCCCTCACCTCGAGATTCACCAGGCAGAGCTTTGGTTGCAGCAGCATGGGAACTTGTAGTCCTCAGAAATGTACCTCATTGACAGACTACCTAAACATCTATTTTGTAAGGTACTTTTAAATCAATACCATGCTTCTAATTGTTCCTTTGATTGAGGTTTGGATGCGGTTTTTTTGTACTTGTGTTGAGACTAGAGTGAGTTTAGTAAGCATAAAATGGTGATAGGACAGTTGTTTCTGAGCTGAGTGCTTCAGCAGAGACTAGAGGAGGTACGTTACAAACACAGGTATTGCCACAGAGACCATCACCTCTCACCAGCCTTTCTCCATCTGTAATCATGTTATGCTCTGTGCAAATACTGCAATTGTCTACACAGAAGAGTAATTTTATGAGAGCATTTAGTGCCTTTTTAGCCTCTTTTAATCCAATTTTAGCTGCAGGAAGCATGGAGAAGAAGCCAGCATCATGTTTTCCATAGATCACCAGCAAAGCTATAGGAAATGGCAGCCAATGGGCTCATTCCAGTGAATAACTTTAAGAAAAAGCACAGGTACCTCTTTAAATGCCTATAGAATCATCACATTTAGTACTTTTTGTTGTTATTAAAATCTGTATTAACTGTGTTTCTTCAATATTTCTTGTACTTTTAACATTTTATCTTTGCATGACTGCCACAAAGTTTTCTACTTCTAAGCTGATTTGTTTGGTTGGATTTTTTTTTAAGATTTAAAAAATATTTGTCATGCAAAATACTGCAAGTGGCAGCACTGCAATGAAGCAATAAAAAGCAATCACTAGAGGTGTGGTTTGCAGGAGATAATTACAAACCCCTGCAGGGCTATGAGGTACAGATGAATGCTTCTGGTATGGTCATTATCTCATGGAGGTGCCTTATTGTTATTATGAATTTCTTTCAGCCCCATGTATAAATAATTTATGTTAGTAAATTACTTTGATCTCTGATGGAAACTGTAGGTTAGTGTTAGAAACTTCCAACTGGGAGGTTCATAGACATTAACCTATTCATGTATAATGCCTAAATACCAATCAAAAGACTCTCTCCATCTAAGCAACTTCATAACTTCATTACATTTAAAGAGGATGCAATGGAGCAGAACATAAATGACATAGTGCTGCTAACACTTCCTCAGCTTAGGAAAGGCTATTTGAAGTCCTGTGGAGAACCTGGACTTTTTAGAGATGACTCTAAGTGGCTTCTGTCTCATGTTTCTTCTCATATTTGTCAGTAGTAATTTTTACCTTGATATTACACTCTCCTAATGCACTACAGAGAAAAATGCTGTTTATGTAGATCACTCTCATTTGCACTGCAGAATCTCTAACAGCAGCATCTATCTTCTTAATGTAAACATTCTCCACATTTTTGTGGAAGATATTATGAGAAAGTTGATACTTGCAGGTCTCTTGGTAAAACACTACCAAAATAATGAGCCACAGCACCATATGCTTTTTCCTAATTGGATCTCAGACTCCAAAATAGTCAGTACAGGAAGGATATAAATACAGTGAGGTAGGTTTCCAAGTTCAATACCTGTTTTTGATTGTGGATATTTGCATAAGCCTGAAACACAATAGGATGTGGCTTATGGGCAAAGACCCAAAATACAGTCTTCCACCAACCAGTATTTACAATGGAAGTTCATAATGTCCACTGTATAGTTTTCACATCAACCAAAATGTTTTAAACTCTGTGGAGAAAACACGGAGAGTACAAAGGTGGGTTATAAGCTAAATTGCAGTCTTTCAAATTCATGGAACCCGAGTAAACTGTAATGATAGAATCTCTAATCCTAATTCCCACATCCATGCACTTCAGACCCTTTTGAGGCCATCTCATTCTGTCTATACATGGAGATCTCAAATACAACAAATTCCTTCTCTTGGCATTTAAGCCACGCTAAGCTGCAAAGGTGTCACAATAATACTAGCAACAGAATCACAAGGATGCAGAAATGGATGACATGGACCCGCTACAACTTCAATTAAGCCACCATAGCAAGGGGACAGAATTAGGAACCCATACACATAGCTGGGATCTACAATTGGGAATATATTGCTCTTCTACACTCCCTGGGACAAACAGGGATCATACTGGGAAAAGGAAATACTGGTTAGTTGGGCTCCCCATTTTTATTTAAACTTGAAATTCTACTGTGACAGCAGCTGTCCTTAACATTATCATTTTCAAAGGCATTGAAACCTTTATAAATGCATGGTTAAAGAACAA